TTTGTCAATGGTTTTTAGATAGGCTCAACCTGTTCTATTGTTCTCTATCTAGAAATTTTTTTTTTTAATTTAATTATAGAAAATATGAATTCGGAAAAAAAATAATAATAAAATAGCTCGTTATATTGTAAGAACGAACCCTCTCCACCCCCACTCCTCTTCTCTCCCTCTCTCGATTTCGACACCCAAACCCAGTCCCCCCACTCCACCCCACCCCACTCACAGAGAAATCATCAAACGGGACGTAACGCCCCCAATCACACATCCGCTTTTCCCCCAAATCATCCATTCTCAATTCCCCTTTCTCAGATTTGCAGGTTCATATCAAAATAATCCCTCTCACATCTAGTGTATTCACCCGCTTGTATGAATTATTGATGTTTTTTTAGTTTTTCTTTCGTGATGATACTTGTGGGTTTGGATTATGTTTTTAATGCAGATACAGTTAATAAGTTGGGAAATGGTCGTAAAACCCATGTTCGTCTGGTGGCTCTAGCATGCACCTCGTAATTTACGTGGTGGTGGTGGTTCATAGATTGGTTCCCCATTTCTGATTTGTTGATTTTAGTGGGTTTGAAGAATTACTGCGATGCCGAATCAAGAGGTGAAGGTGAAGCGAGAGGCGGTCTTGCCATGCATGACATGCCCACTCTGCCGCAAGCTCTTCCGCGACGCCACAACTATTATCGAATGTCTTCACACATGTGAGTATACTCCTGTCATTGTGTAATTCTTTGGAATTCTTAAATTCGCTTTGAATTTCATGAGTAAATCATTTCCGGTGTATGGTCAGTGTTCTTCTGTGATCTGGATTTTGCTTTGTCTTTCGTGTTGTGGCATCTGGGTTTGGGGCTGAATTGTTGCCTGAATTGCACGTTAATGATCTGGGCATCAGAGATATGTTTATGGGTCTTTCTGAATTTTCCGTGTTTTATAAGTTTGAATTTTCCTTTTTCTGTGTTTATGCTCAGTGGGATATTTTATTGACCTGATTTCTGCAGTCTGAGTAAGTGGTGTGAGCAACTGATCAATTCGCTGAAAGATTTATTTATTATTTTTTATTGAAAATATTGTTATCAAAATTTGAACTAGCGATGAACAAGCATTTGTACCAGGGTTTTATCCCTCTATCCCCGCTTGATATCATATAAATTATGATTGAGGTGAAATAAAGGTACAAGTGTATACAAGTTCTTCCTTTACTCTTTATTGCTTCAAGGAATTCAATTTTTATGTTTTCACCATGTAATTTTTAAATTTTTTTGATGAGGAATCTAATATCTTTGCCTTTGGATACTATCTAGTTTGCAGGAAATGCATATATAAGAAACTTTCAGATGAGGAAATGGAATGCTGTCCAATATGCAATATTAATTTAGGATGCGTTCCATTGGAGAAGTTGAGGTCAAATACTTCTTCTAATGCTGTCTTTCCCTGCACACACCTGTTTATTATTACTAGGTCTTTTTCTTAAAATGTTTGATAAAAAGTTGTGTAACTGGAGGTCAATGATGGTTCGTGCATTCACTTTCCATTTCCCGAAATCATTTTTGAACACCTTCAAAACACACATTTGTCTTATACTTAAAAAGCCTTCTGATTCTGGAGCTCATTACCTCATCATCATCTTTTTTCCTTTGTTTCTTTTTTCTTTCATATCTTTGTTATAGATACAATGCCGAGCTTATGGCATAAATATCTTTGTTTCTTTTTTCTTTCATATCTTTGTCGCACAAATTTAGTTGTGCTCAACTTTTGAAATCTCAAATGTTTGAGGATGTTGATTGTTCTGTAGTTCTGCAAAATAAAGAAGAAAAATATCATCAAGAAAATTAATTAGGCATATTGGGAACAAAATATCAGATAGTGAAGGTCTAGATTCACTTTTATTTCATTGGTATTAAAGAACTTATGGCAAGAATACTGTTGTAGGGGAATTTTTTTGCAAGCAGGTGCAATTTCGGTCATTTTTTGTATTCATATCTAAGAGAATTGTAGCTGTTGAACTTTTCATCTGATGGTTGATAATCTAATAACTCAGTATAAATTACAGAGCTATCAACCCCATAGGTACTTGTAAGTATCATTAAACTCTGAATTTAAAGTGGTTTATAGCTTGTTTGTTTACGCACTTCATCAGCAATTAAAAGTTTGTGCCTGTCTTAAAGTGTGTGGAAGTGCATTAATGTGTATGAATATGTTAAGGTAGAAGGGATTATATTTTTTATTTTTTTTGTGTGTGTAAAGAGTATAAAAATGAATTTTGTATGTTAGGCCTGATCATAAATTGCAAGATGTAAGGGCAAAGATATTTCCTTCTAAGAGAAAGGTAAACACACCTGAAGTGGTGACTCCAATTCAATTACCTGCAAAGAGAAAGGAGAGATCACTCTCGTCGTTGGCGATCAGTGCTCCTAGAGTATCAGCACACAGTGGAATGACTGGAAGAAGATCGAAATCTATTGCAAGGAAAGCATCAAAAAGTTCCAGTTTTACAATAGAGAAAGCTGTTGACAAAGACGAAGATTCAGTGGAAGACCGCCCTGGGAACTCCAAGTCACCTGAGACTCCAAACAAATTTTCCCAGAATATCATGCTGGTAAGGGAAATATATCAGTTACATATTTGCCTTAATTTGTGGATTCTGCCTACATTTATCTACACCTTATGCACATGTCTCGAATACCGTTCTTCGTGCTTACTGATATTGCTTGTACAGAACCCTAATGCTGCTGAGACATCTAGCCAACTTAGTCCTGATGAAGAAAGAGAGAAAGGTTCTGAACCATTGAAAGGGAAAGTTGATCTTTGGAAGCCCTTGAATTGTTTAGTGGAAGCAGCGAATAGGAGTAAATCTTCTCAGTTGGCCCCAGGATCTGTTGCTAAGTCGGATTCTATACATTCCCATGGTAATGAAGGACACGTCCGTAAAACCAAAAACAAGGAACCAGGAACAAAGTCAAAAGTTCAACTTGATAAGAATGGCAAAGACCGCGACCATGTAGAATCAGAAAAAACTAAAAAAATGCGTAGAATCCAGCAGAAGAAGGCACGTAATTTTGGAGAATTTAGAATAGCTCCCCAGGACGTGCTCAATGCTGCCACTGCTACCTGTGAAAAAAGAAATAATCCAATTTGGTTCTCATTAGTGGCGTCTGATGACCAGTAAGCATTTACTTCTACTAAAGGGATCATATCTTCTGAATATACTGGATGCTGTTGTCTCTGTTTCTGGTATTTTCTGATTTACCATGATATAATTTTTTAGGGAAGGAGATGCACACTTGCCACAAATTTCTGCCAGTTATTTGAGGATAAAGTAAGTTCTTATCCGCTTCATTTCATTCTAGCAAATGAATGATCAACGACGTAAATCAAACATCTCGTGATGTTATTCTCCACCAGAAATGCTTTGATTTAGTGACTTTTGTCTTCATAAATGAATAGACTTGCTTGTTGGTGATATTATTCATTCGCAAATGAAAGAAATATGCTCATTACTATAAATGTATGAGAATTCCACTGAAATTCTATTTGTTATTTTTACTACTATTTCGAGTTTTGTGCACACCATCCCTGTGCTGGTTTCTTCCATTTCCACCTGTGATAACTTTTAACTGTTCTCCAGACTTGATATGATGCAATTCTCCAACTCTTTTTATGGTCCAACTGGAGAGAATAGTCATATGATCGCAACAATGTGTCATTTTTGGAGTTTTATTTTATGAGTCAAAATTAACTGATGATGCTTCTGTATGTTGTAGTGTTACAGTTCATAAAGTTTAAAGAAATGAAGTTTTTATCGTACACATTATGACTGAAATACTATCTTTCTTCATATCTGCTTCATTCTTCACAGAGATGGGGGCATAACGGTTTCTTTTATCCAGAAGTACCTAAAGAAGAAATTGGATCTTACTAGTGAAGATGAGGTAAGCAATTCTATCCCTTCCAATTAAATAGCAATGGCTTCTAGTTTCGAATAAGTTGGATTTAAGTATCCATTGCGGATGTCTGCTGCATGCACGAGGAGCTACAATGGCTTACCATGTCGGATTCTTCATATTTCTTAATTGGTCTTTAATAATACTTGGAATGTGTGAGAAGTCATAGTTTCAGCGATGAGTATGGATGATGATTCTTTTGCTATTCACTTTGTAGGTTGAAATCAAATGTATGGGACAGACAGTCGTCCCCACATTGACGCTTAGTAATCTAGTTGATATATGGCTTCAAACAACTACTTCGGAGACGGTATCAGCCACTATTGGTTCATCAGCAAAGGACTTTATGATGGTATTAAGCTACACTCGCAAAGCTCCCGATCTTTGAATGGGTATCACAGAGCATGCATCGGGATTTGTGATTTCTTGAAACTGTTATCACTGCCATATTCCTACTCAGAGGCCAGAGAACATTCCAATAAGTTGCATAGAAGCAGATGAAAAAAAGGCTTTACTTGTGTTTATTTATATCGGGATGGATGAGTGCACTTGAGTTCTTGTATCTGTTTTGTTTTAGGTTGATTTTCAACTCTCTATATTCCCCTTTAGTCTTGGACCTACACAATGTATTACTGTTACCTCATCGGAGTTTTGCCAGCGTCATATTCTAGTTTTGTTTTGTGTCTTGTTTTGTTGGTGCTAGAATTGTTATAGATAGTACATAACAGCTTCCTATTCAAATGAACTCACCTCTGTTCTATGGATTATGCTTGAAAAAATGATGTTCTACCAGCTTATGAGCTTAAAAAAGCATCAAATCAAGGTGAAATAAGACAATTGAGAGGTTGATTACATTGCTACAATTACCAGCAAAAAGAGAAAGGAAAAGGAAATGAAAACGTGATCAAATGACTATTCATAACACAAAGTTTTACTTGTTAAACAGTAAATTGTAATGATATCCAATATTCAAAACCCTTGCAACAAAAACTTGCAATTCTAGCCACAATTTTCATCCATTTTGCAATACTATACATCTATAATGCTAAAATTAGTTCAAACTGTTGTGTAAGTGGATCCAACAACAGAGAGCAATCCGCCATCGGCAACTTCATCTTCATCCAAGAACAAATCCTCTGTAACCCTAAATGCTGCGTGCAGAACCAAAATCACCAATCCAATTAAAATCGACACCAGAATATTCAGCCAAACACCGGTGAAAATCAAGCACACAATTGTCACAATTCCGAGCATGATCGAGACAATACGATCATCCACCATACGATTGAACAGCACAATCGGCTCGTCGCGAAAGAAGTAGAGGAGAAACCAGAAGACGAATACTATCATGAACACGATCATGGAAATTGGGTGCCACAACAGGCTGAGGAAAAGTATGATAAGTATTATCATCGCGTAGTTTACACGGAAGTAATTAAAATTGCGCTTGAGCCGCGAGGTGAATTCGTTGAAGCTGTAAGGGATGGAATAGGAGGCCGGATGGGAGAAGAGCTCAAGCCACGGCCGGCGTGTGGCGTAGATCAATTGCATCCGTGATTTGGCGCGAGGAAAGACTCCTCCTCCGGCGGTTTCGCTGCCGTATACCGTCGGCAGAGAACTGTACCCGGTCGACATTTTAATATTTATTTTATCTCGAAATCGAAAATACGAACCCTAAAAGAGAGAGGAAGAGCGGTGCTAACTTTCGTTTCGTTAGTAGCTGCTCATTTGTCGGAGGGATGTGTACGGCGCGGTTTCCGGAGAATTTTTGCAAACGTGTTCACGACGAGGCAATAGACTTGTACCTTCGAACAAAAGAAAGAGCTGAAAAAACGAAGAAAAAGAAATAACTTTAAGATATTTTGAGAGGGAAAATAGCAGCGTAGGTCCTCAATATTCCACACAATAAGCATTTGGGGTCCCCAAAACTATTAAAAGGAGCAATATCCCCAAAGAAAGGCACGGGAGAAGCAACTGGTGTTATAAGTCACATGTAAATTGATGTGTAAAATAAACTGTGTACGAACGTTACGATAGAAAGGTGGTTGTTTGGTTCGTTGGATTGAATTCTTCCATCGAAATATGCATATGTTTGTCTATAGTATACAACAAACTAAGCATTGTTCCCAAAAATTTTTAGCTCGTCTATATGGAGCAATTGCCAGATATAGTAAAACATCTTTTGCGTCTTTTCTTTTATTCGGATATTAATGAACAAGGTTCAAGTTTACTTGTATGTTAGTATGCCTCAGTTGCATACGTAACTGCACTTCCACTTAACACCTATCGTAATGTTAAACGGCTCTTGCTATCGAAATCGTGAGCATCAACATGTAGTTCCAGATTCAAATGGTAGTATCAAGTCATTTAGCTATTGTTCTTGAGAAATGGTCCGATCTTGTCCATTCCTCGAAAGAAGTTAAACCGACGTTTCCAAGGTGAAGCAAGCACGGGAGATTCTAATAAAATAAAAAGAGATATTTAATGCCCTCAAAGAGTAGCTTTATTATGTGGTATTAAAATAATACCGTTGCTGAGGAAGAAGATTTGGATTAGAAAACTCGACTCAACTGAGTACATTTGTATAAACAGCGTTAATATCTGTCATTTGAACTATTAACACATATTTATTGTTGACGTCGTATATTTATAAGAATTTTGGTGTTACAAGAAAACGTACAAAAAGCTATTCTTCTTCGTTTGATGTTGATTGTTCTTTCTAGCTTACAGTTGTTGGCAATTAAACGTACTTCATATTTACCAATTTGTTTGTTGGATATACTACTATTTTTACAGTGTCAAATCCCTCTCAAGTAGGGGTGAACGCGGTTCGGTTTGGGCGGTTTGTGCCATATTTTCAATTCAAATCATTTCATGCAGTTTGGAATTTTTTCAAACCAAACCAAACCATTATATTTTTCGAACCAAACCAAACCATAATTTGCGAGTTGGTTCGGTTTTAATCCGCAGTTTACCTATTGCCATTATAGTTATATGTTTAAAACAAGTTATCATATACATTTAAACAAGAACTACTAATGATTTAAACGAAAACTAATAATGTTAAATTACATTCATCTTTCCCACGAAACTCATGAATAAATTATTTTCAAAGTCGGTTGTTAAAAGATGTTAATAAAACGAATATATTTTTCTTCCTTTTTATTTATATTTTCTTGTTTGCCTTTTTTCGTATTATTATATAATGGTTGGTAAAGATAGAGTCACATTCTTCTGTAATAGTTTGGTTAAAACTCATTTCGTCCTACCAGTAAGATGAAAAACAAGAACTAAACATGATATGTTTAAATAAAGAAAGAATGATAGAGTTCAGGTTTATTGAAAATTGACAAATTTTATTCTTGAACGACTTAAAAAAAGTAGAATGTAGTAGTACTAGTTAGGGAACTTTAACATTTTCAAGCATTCAATACATCTTTCGTTCTTTCTAAACTACAAACAAGTTCAGTAATCACCTAAGCAAACAAACCTTCATTTTTTTTAATCCAACTCACAACTCACAAGTGTATAATAAGTTCAAAAACAACAAATGAAAGAAAGAACAATGAAAAAATGACTTGAATGAGAATTTAAGATTTGTCAAGATAGAAGAGAGAAATGGGTGATTCAAGTAGAAATTAGCAGTCTAACAAACAAAAGGCCATTAGCGATTTACGATTGAGAATCGCATTTTGTTCAGCAGTGGCAGACAAATATCAAATGTTTGAGAAACGAGAGTTTAGGTTAGGGCTTCTGAAGTTGTGAGCGTGATTTGTCGTCGTAGTTTTGTTGAATTATGATTTGAATCGTTGAAAATAAATGTTTTTTTCATATGATTTAGGATTAATTTTAGTTTAGATTAGATAACGAGTAAAGAGGTGTGTTGTGGACTTATAAAACCAACAACCAATTATGATGAACATAATTTACTTTATATGATTAATTTAATGAATTGGTTGTAATTTATATTGCTAAATTGGATTTTTTTTCTAAAAAGTGAAAACTTTAAAACGTGTAAGTTAATAAAATTAATTTTTTTTAATTCGTATTGCTAAATTGGTATTTTTTTTCTAAAAAGTGAAAACTTTAAAACTTGTAAGTTAATAAAATTATTTTTTTAATTAAAAAACAGTTCGGTTTAGTTTTATGCGATTTTTGAAAATTAAAACCTAAATCAAACCATTTTAAAACGGTTTGGTTTGGTTTGGTTTGGTTTGAGGGAAAATAAATAGCGGGTCCACGTGGATACGAACAAACGGTTTCGATTCGGTTTGCGGTTTTGCGATTTTTTTGTACAACTCTGACTTACACCACATTTTGTGTAAATATAACAATGAGTAGGGGTGGACCTAGCACACGATGAGGGGGCGCGGCCGTCTGTGCTGGATCTGTCAGAGTCTTCAATATCGCTGGGCGCCGAGTGCTATTACAGAGAGAAGACAGGAAGAAGAAGGGAAGAAAAAAAACCATATTTTCAGTTTGAGATTTTTTTTTATGTTTGACCCTTTTGTTTTGGGTTGAGAGAGTTGGACATTTAAAAAAGTTTGGGTCTTTTTTTTTTTGCCCTTTTGTTTTTGTCCTTTTTTCTCGGCTTTCTGTTTATGTTTATGTTTCAGTTCTTTTCTTTATTTCTTTTTCATTTTTTCTTTTTCGAATATATTTATGAATTTGAAGAAGACAAAAATAATTAAGAAAATGCCATGTTCTCTTTGTCGTTTTCAAATTTCTTTTATTCGGATATTAATGAAGAAGGTTCAAGTTTACTTGTATGTTAGTATGCCTAAGTTGCATACGTAACTGCACTTCCACTTAACACCTATCGTAATGTTAAACGGCTCTTGCTATCGAAATCGTGAGCATCAACATGTAGTTCCAGATTCAAATGGTAGTATCAAGTCATTTAGCTACTGTTCTTAAGAAATGACCCGATTTTGCCCATTCCTCGAAAGAAGTTAAACCGACTTTTCCAAGGTAAAGCAAGCATGGGAAATTGCTAGTTGTGGTTTACACTTGATTCTCATCAACTACAATCGTGTGGAGAATTTGCAAAACTCGATTGCCACTGAGAATAATATCGATTTTTTTATTTTATATTTTTTTTTGGCATTTTGACAAGAGAATCTGAAAAAGATATTAATGAGGAGATTCTAATAAAATAAAAAGAGATATTTAATGCCCTCAAAGAGTAGCTTTATTGTGTGGTATTAAAATAATACCGTTGCTGAGGAAGAAGATTTGGATTAGAAAAGAAAACTCGACTCAACTGAGTACATTTGTAAAAACAGCGTTACTATCTGTCATTTGAACTATTAACACGTATTTATTGTTGACGTCGTATATTTATAAGAATTTTGGTGTTACAAGAAAACGTACAAAAAGCTATTGTTCTTCGTTTGAAGTTGATTGTTCTTGCTAACTTACAGTTGTTGGCAATTAAACATACTTCATATTTACCAATTTGTTTGTTGGATATGCTACTATTTTTACAGTGTCAAATCCCTTACAAGTAGGGGTGAACGCGATTCGGTTTGGGTGGTTTGTGCCATATTTTCAATTCAAATTATTTCATGCGGTTTGGAATTTTTTCAAACCAAACCAAATCATTATATTTTTCGAACCGAACCAAACCATAATTTGCGGGTTGGTTCGGTTTTAATCCGCAGTTTACCTATCCACATTATAATAATATATTTAAAATAAGTTAACATAAAAGTTTAAACGAAAACTAATAATGTTAAATTACATTCATCTTTCCCACGAAACCCATGAATAAATTATTTTCAAAGTCGGTTGTTAAAAGATGTTAATAAAACGAATATATTTTTCTTCCTTTTTATTTATATTTTCTTGTTTGCCTTCTTTCGTATTATTATATAATGGTTTGTAAAGATAGAGTCACATTCTTCTGTAATAGTTTGGTTAAAACTCATTTCGTCCTACCAGTGAGATGAAAAACAAGGACTAAACATGATATGTTTAAATATACAAAGAATGATAGAGTTCAGGTTTATTGAAAATTGACAAATTTTATTCTCTAACGACTTAAAAAAAGTAGAATGTAGTAGTACTAGTTAGAGAACTTTAACATTTTTAGGCAATCAGTACATCTTTCGTTCTTTCTAAACCACAAACAAGTTCATTAATCACCTAAGCTCACGAACATTCATTTTTTTTAATTCAAATCACAACTCACAAGTGTATTATACGTTCAAAAACAATAAATAAAAGAAAGAACAATGAAAAAATGACTTGAATAAGAATTTAAGACTTATCGAGATAGAAGAGAGAAATAAGTGATTCAGGTAGAAATCAGCAGTCTAACAAACAAAGACGACTAGCGATTTACGATTGAAAATCGCATTTTATTCAGTAGTGGCGGGCAAATATTAAATGTTTAAAAATGAGAGTTTAGATTAGGGCTTCTGAAGTTGTGAGCGTGATTTGTCGTCGTAGTTTTGTTGAATTATGATTTGGATCGTTGAAAATAAATGTTTTTTTCATATGATTTGAGATTAATTTTAGTTTAGATTAAATAACGAGTAAAGACGTTTGTTGCGGACTTATAAAACCAATGGCCAACAATGATGAACATAATTTACTTTATATGATTATTTCAATGGGTTGGTTGTAATTTA